ATCAAACTTGATGTATTTTAACACATACACACACACAGGCAATGGCTGGAGTATGCTTGTGACGGTAGTCACCATCACTGGGGATGGAAGACAGACACTATGGGTGGGCTCCCAAATTCCTTTTGTGTTTTGTCACACTGTGCCTATTATTTGTGCAGGGTATGTTGAATGTATTGCTGGTTTGTGCATCTCCCCCTCCCCCCTTTTCCCTGTCCTATTGTTTCCCCAGCAGGGCATTTCCCAGGTACACTGCCAGACCAGTTTAAACTGGCTGCTCTGTCCCTCCTCAATCTCCCATCAGCCCTTGCTATTGTCTGACCCCACCCTTCCTTGTACTATAGTAACCTATTGTATGTAAATGAGGCTGTTGGGGGCTTAAACTATGTGTGCTGTATTCATTAAAGAGTTGCTGTTTAACCTTCACCATGTGTCGTCTGGGTGGAAAAGGCCCTAAGTGATCCCAGTCAAGCCTCGGTGTCTGGGTCTGAAGTGTTTCAGGGTCCCTGAAAGCTACAAGGAAGCTGACTTGGCAGAGGTACTCGGTCGGAGTACTGGAGTTCCGTTACATTGGTTGGCAGCGGTGGGATGGCTTCCTAGCAGCTGGAGAAACGTCCCTGGACACCAGCGCCTCTACTGGGATCCCACTGTGCTTTCTGGAATTCATGGAAATTGATAGAGCTAGCACCCGTGCAGCATCCCCATCTGAGGAAGAGTTACAGTGGAGGCTACAAGCAGCTCTGTCCCAGTACGATGGCCCTTTCTTAACAAAGGGTGAACTGGACCGGCGGGACTCAATCTGTCGGGATCTCTGGAACAATGTTCTTGAGGAGGTTTGTTGTCTCCGGGAAGAATCCCTCCCAACCATTATGCAATGATTTTGGGATCAAGTTGATTTGCGGATGCAATTCTTGGGAGAGCAGCCCCTGGTGGAATTGGTGTTTAAATTAGAGGAGCTGGTACAGAAAGAATTGTGGCTGGATGATTCTTACCGGGCCTTAAGGTGGTATGCAGTCCAGCAGTACCCATTTCTAGCAGACAATGACCCTCCAGAGGGTGAGGACTATGATGGCCCTGGCCTATTGTGGGAGGCCTTTGAGGATAAAATTGAATTTGGAAGTCCTAAGAGGTCCCGGCTTTATGACATTAGGGAAAATAGGGAACACCTACTGGATCTCTCAGAAGCAACAGACCTGGAACCTGATTTGACCCACCTGGCCACCATGGAGTGGGAACTTGAACTGGATTACAAGCAATTGTTTGACTCTGCACAGCAGAAGGTACCAGAGACGGGAAATTTAATAGACCTTACATCTGAGTATGTTGGTCAGGTAGATGTGGAAGGAACCGTATTCTCCACACCTGAATCACGGGGATACTGGGCAGCCATCCCAGATCTCCCACCTCCTGGCAAGGAAACTTGTGGAGCAGAGGTAGAGGTTGTCGGTCTCCCCATTCAGCAGCAGATTGAGTTACTGTGAATAGAGGTAGTCGATCTCCCTCCCCAGCTGAAGTTTGCGTTACAGGGAGAGGAGGCAGTTGGTCTTTTTCCCCAGCGGCAAAGTGTAACCCCAGCAGAAGAGCTGGCATCAGGACATAGGACCACTGGCCTCTGTCCCCAACTTGCAGCAACGCTGGAAGTTAGGAGCAGGGAGGACAGCCTTTTGGTGGTGGTGGAACTGAAGTGCTGGCATGGAGTCAGAGCACTGCTGGCCTCTGTGCCCAACTTACAATGACGCTGGAGTTGAAGAGCAAGGAGATCAACCTTCTAGTGAAGGTGGAGTTCAAGGAGTGCGCAACTCCCCCAGCTGAAGCTCCACTTGCCTCTGCCCAAACCCACTGGTAACCCACGAGCCTCAGGCATCAGACACTGCTGGTCCTACGGAAGAGCGGATCCCAGAGCAAAGCACGGCTAACCTCAGCCCTTCGCCACAGTCACTGTGAGATTTTAGTTGTGGCTTCACATTCCATACAAGGCATTCTAGCACATTACTCCACTACCACCAAGAAGGGCACTCGGGAAGAAGAAAACATGCCTGAAGAAGGAGGCAATCAAGGATTAGGTTTTGCACAAAGTGAGCAGAGAACAAGTGACTACCTGTGGTGGTCCATCATGAACCTGGTGTGCTGCTGTTTGCCGCTCGGGATTGCTGCCATCTTCTATTCTCGCAAGGTAATAGGGCTATGGAGGGTTACCTGCAAAAATAGGATTTACAGGAGTGAGGGTCAGTTAAATCTTCCTTAGACGATAGAGACTTTTTGTTTAACAAACATTTATATTCTATCCATCATCTAATCTCTGAGATTGTGGAACTTTTTACCCGGAGATTTGAAGTGGCATTTAGTTAGAAAACGATCGCTTCGGTTTAACAACGAGTGGTATACAAACACAAAACAGATGTCTGTTCATGATTTGTTGAGACGAATTAAATTTTTTCCAATAATGCTGCAAATTCTAGCATTTTTTGATGTTGTAATTGATACACATGATACAAACCATGAAATGTGTGGATACATTTTAAAGAGACCTATAGAGGTATTCACAATTCTGCTTTATAACCCGGATGGGATCTAATTGCTAAACAGCAAATTGGGATGAATTGAAAACCAAACTGCTGATGTAGTTTTTAAAACCTTTTCCAGCTTGTTCATAGTTTATAAATTGACTGTTTAATCCTGAATGTTGTCATTTAGTTTTGAATTTACTAAAATGTTGTGTACAGTAAATAAATCCATTAGGCACCCAGTTAATAAGAGATAAAATGTTGGAGCTTAAAAAATATATCAACGCATGGGATAGACGGGGTCAGACGGGGTGAGACGCCTATCATCAAGCAGCCCACCCTCGGGTTCAATTCTTTGATGCTAATGCAAGCTCATTAAATTGCATAATATGTCTGTATATTGGTGCTTGCAAACGTTCAATTAAAAAAATATATATATTTCCTATTATTGCACATGGTGAAACATTATAAATCACAAAAATAATTGTTTTATTGCATGGACTAAAATATGAAAGGTTAGAAGATATGTACATTTTACAAAAGTTAAAGTTTGTAATATCTGTCCAATACAAATGGATGGGACTCTGGTCTCTACCTGTAGTCCCCAGGAAGGCTGGACAATGAGCTCCGATCCCCAACCCCATGTCAGAGGGGGCCCAGCCACCCTGCCTTCCCTCCAGCGGCTGAGAGAGATCCAGCACAGGGGCACACATCGCCAGGTATATGCTTTAGTAGATGCAGAGGTTGGCTGGGTAAGTGCTGCTCTTCCATGGGCAATTTGTTTGGGGTACCAATTCGGTGATGGCCTTGATGTAGTCACTAACTTCAGAGTCAAGGTCTGGGGTCTCCTGTATGGTCTCCTTCTGAAGGGGGAGAAATATGCTGGAAACTATTCTGAGCTGGAGATACAGGGTTCCAGAATGCTATTGAGGTCTATGGGGGTCACAGTGGCCCCCTAAGAGTGGAGTCAAATGGGGATAGGTTTGAGTTTGGGAAGGGGGCCATGGCAGATTCACTGGAAACTTCCTTTCTCGACTTCCAAGTCCCCTCTTATGTCTAAGTCATCCTGTGCTTATTAGAGGCACAGGGTGACAGAGAAGCCCAATCTGGCCTGCCCAAACCAGACTTCCACAGACTGATCGGCTATGAGAGCTCCATGCTCCTGACCGAGACAAACTTACAAACTATGTGGAACTTTTCCGAGAAGGCTGCCAGGATGGATGGACTTTTTAGGACTTATTACCCGACTAACTCAGGCACAGACCGATTGGAGGTCTGGTACCTGGTTAGTCTACCTTTGGTTTTTACGTCCAAGATGCATTATCTTGCACTTATCCACATTAAATGTCACTTGCCACAATTCTGACCATTTTTCTAGTTTACCTAAATCATTTGTAATTTGGCTTATCCCTCCTGGAACATCAACCCAGTTACATATCTTAGTATCATCAGCAAAAAGACATACCTTACCATCAAGACCTTCTGCAATATCACTAATAAAAATATTAAAGAGAATGGGTCCAAGTACAGATCCCTGAGGTACCCCACTGGTGACAAGTCCAAGCTTCGAATATATTCCATTAACTACAACCCTCTGTTGCCTGTCACTCAGCCACTGCCTTACCCATTCAACAATATTTGAATCCAAACTTAAAGATTGCAGTTTATTGATAAGCCTTCAATGTGCAACAGTGTCAAAAGCCTGGGAATACTTATGCTGCTTCAAGTAGGTGCGTGTTGCCATGGCAGCACAGTGTGAGCAGACGCTCACTTAGCTCTCTGATATGTGAGTGACACCCCGCAGAGACTGAAGGGTCTTAAAATAAACTGTGACAGTCGCCACATTGGAGCGTTTTTCTACAATGTTTTTTAGCCTATTGTAACAGGACTACAATTTGTGCCTGGACTCCTTTAACAATTGCATAACCTGGACATACAAAAGAACCGACTTGCCTGTTTTATGCGAACCACTATTGCCCAAAAACGAATCCAAACTACCGAACACCGGACCACCCTTAAGTGAAGTTAAGTGATATTTTACCTCCCAGACCGGAACGGCCATTCGCATGGTTCAGCACGAATCCTTTGTGTAAAGTATAGGTGGCCGCCATTTCGGGACTTTGCACGTGTTTGCGGCCATCTTACGCACGAACAGCTGTGTTTTGCCATCAATCGTGTAGAACTAAAAATGGATACGCAAACAGACGAACACCGCTGAGACCTCCGTGACAACGTAGATTCGTGCAGAAACTACCGAACAGCCGGTCATTCGGTAGAAAGATTAAACCATGCATGAGGATTCCGGCGAATGCCAAGATAGCTGTGAATGGCAAGATTGTCGTGTGCTTTCAATACACGAACGGGGACCGGTCGGTCAAAACTTCAAAGACCCATAACTCCCCAACGCTTTAACCGAATGGGCTGGATTTTTGATATGTTGTTCCCCTGGGGATACTGGATTTAAGGGTGTACCCCCTGGTTTTGGGGTACATCCAGAACTTGGGTAAAATTGTGTGTGTTATAATTATGTTAAATGTTTATCTGAGAGGAGGAGACGTGGGGGTTGTACCATGTTTGTGATTGGGTACTGTGTTAATTATGAAGGTGTAGCCCTTTCCAGGGCAGCATTGCATAAAAGGAGACCCCTGTCAATAAACATCAGTTCTGCTTGACCCTTCAAAACGTAGCCTCGTCTCTTCGTTCTTGGAAGGGGGTTTATTGTACAGTTACTCTGCTCCATTTTACAGTATGCCTGACTCTACCTTTGGATCTCGTGGATGGGAATAAGAACTCCATTACTACACAGCAGCTTGCCAGGGAAAGGACGTCTCCAACGGCAGATACCCCCTTACTACCTGGGTAGCCGTTACACCTATATTTTGCAATTTACTACAATTCACGGTTTAGTAAATAAACACCCAGGAGGGAAAAAAAAGACTTCACTACAAACTGAATATTGAATGTTCATGTAAGATTGGATCATTGCTTTACTAGACGGGTTTTAGATCTTATTCAGGACGACAGTGTGTCAGTCCCAAATGTTCACCCTGTATTAGCCTCTACACATCTGCTGGAAGGCTATTCCATGCCTCTCTAACTCTTTCAGGTTTATTGACTGCCATATTGGAGAGAATTGAAAAAAGGTTTTGCAAAATGTGTTTTGCCCTGAATATTGTTCATTAGGTTTCAGAACATAAACAAATGTTACTTTTTACATTCCAGCTGCTGTAGTTGTAACAGTACGAGGGCATGCCTGGCACTATAACTACCACAGCTGCTGGAATTTAAAATCCAATGGTGAGATGTCAATTTGTTTAGACACTGATTGACAACTTACCTGTGTCCTGAGGGACGCCTCCACAGCATCCATGCATCTGATGTTCTGCAGCCTTTCAATGCCAGATTGATCTCATTATCAGTGATCGTTGGCTGAGAGTGACAGCTCAGTGTTCTCAATGTAAAGTGCTATCCTGCATTGGCATACTTTACCTAACAGCCTGTAGAAGATATGGGGCAGACACCTGGGGCACAGACATCTAGCTGGAGTCAGGTATGTTGTCCAACCATAT